GGGAACCACAGAGTTTAGAAGGCTGAAATTTTAGAGTAATGACCCCCTGCCCACGCGCAACCTTGCCTATTCGAATTCAGCGTTCCCGCGCTCTTGAGTATCACCTATGGCCTCGTAAAAATTTTGGCGGGTAAACTATTAACTCGGGATAAAGATATTCACGCTTCAAGGTTTCGAATTCAGTTTTCATGTGTTGGTGCATGAAATTTTTAACTGTTTTCCAATGTTTGAACTATTTTTGCATAGACTAAAGTACAAAGCAGTGAACTGGTGCATGAAATTTTTAACTATTTTTCAATGTTTGAACTATTTTTGCATAGACTAAAGTACAAAGCAGTGAAAAGTTTTTAACTGTTTTTCAATGTTTGAACTATTTTTGCATAGACTAAAGTACAAGGAAGTGAAATCTTTAACTGTTTTTCAATGTTTGAACTATTTTTGCATAGACTAAAGTACAAAGCAGTGAAAATCATTTTCTTAACTGTTTTTCAATGTTTGAACTATTTTTGCATAGACTAAAGTACAAGGAAGTAAAAATCATTACGTCTGGTTTTCAATGTTTGAACTATTTTTGCATAGACTAAAGTACAAAGCAGTGAAAATCATTAACAGGCAAATATCATTCAATGGGCTAAATTGCACAAAACGCATGATCGCACCAGCTAGTCTGGTACGCGTTGTTATTTATTATTTCCTTATCCATCTTTTTTTTTTTCTTTCACATTTTGCGGTAAAAGAACACAATTGTGCGGTAAAAAAGGAAAAGAATTTAAGTTGCTTTAAAAGTGTCAAAGTCAAATTGCTTCTCATATTCACTCTTTCTGCCGGGCGGAAGTGCTTTAGAAATAGACCGCGACTAGTAACAAATGCCAACAGCAGACATGTGCTGGGGAGGTTGTCGATGGTTGTTCCTTTCGAAGATTTCTTATAAGTAAACTGACGATGAGTTTGATTCTCTGATGTAGGTGAGTACCAATTTACCATTGAAACGAATCGTCAAGAGGGATTGGTTGTCCCATCGGCGAAGTCGAATCCTCGATCTATAAGTGCCACTCTTCACCGCACTGTTCCCGCTTTAAAAAACCTCGGCGGGTCCAGGTAGGGGGCGGAGGGCGATGCTCCCCTTCATCCGTGCTAAAAAAGCTTTCTAAAGCCAAAAATAATCTAAAGCCTAAAAAATTCTAAGCAGTAGTGTTTTTGCAACTCTATTCCTAGTTTTTGCACAGTTCCAGGGTGGAAAGGGATTCGCCTATGTTGAAAAATGTAAAAAAAGAAAATTCAAAAATATATTGCTTGGGGACATAATAATAAAACAAAATGTTAAAAATCGTTTTTAATGAGAAAATTTTTTTCAAAAATTATTGCGAAATGAGTGAGTAATGCAAAAATTTGAGGCGCCATCGTTATAGTGCAAAAACATTTTGCATAGATCGATCGCATTTGCTGCTGCTACTGGAGGCTTCTTCACTCATCCATCCAACCATCATCCATTAGTTTGCGTTTGGCTTCCAGGATAGTGCCGCTGCCATCGTTCCATTGTCTTAAGTGTGATTCATGCCTTCATTGCGAATG